CTATGAGATGTATGCATAAAGATTCCGATGAACGACCTACAGCAACAGAAATTATTGACATAACCAATCGTTGGTTAAATGAAATGAATCAAGATAGTGAAATCAAAAAACAAATTCAGGAAGCTAATAAGATCAAACCAGAACAGATTAAACAAATACATTCACAAGAAATGTATACTAGTAAGTTATATGATACGAAAAAATTTTCAGAATATTTTAGTAAACCGTAGAAAAAAATTATCAAATGTGAGTTTATCTAAAATGCACTTAGTAAGATGCAACTGTAGTAATTTTTCTTGTTATCAAACATTTTTGCAAGATATAATCTCATTAGATTATAGAAATAAATATTTTGGATTAAGAATCCTAAATCAATTTATCATTTTTTTTGAATTTTTCTCAAAATATCTATTATCTCTGCTTACCAATGACTTTATAAAATACAAATTTTGATACTAAAAATTGAATGATAATTACCAATATAATAACACTGCTTAAACTTTTTTCTATATTAAATATTAAAAAGCTTTGATATTTGCGTGTTTAATTATTGACCAAAAGCAAGTTAAAATGTCTATTTTTTTTGAAAATTAGCATCTGAATTTACCTGAAATAATTACCAATCATTCCTATAAACCAGTGTGTTTCAAGAAACGTTAAAAATAGTTCCTCTATAGTTTCGTTTCCCGACAACGATAAAATTGACTGAAACCATTGTGAACGCTAACCTAATGCGGGCTAATTTGTCGGACTTCGCATAGCCTGGATTTTGTTTGTTGAGAAATTATAGGATCTGTTTATTAATAAGCGAAACCTAGAAGCTTTGCATTGGCAAAGTCGAAACTTAGTTTGACATTTGCTAATAAATTAGTTTGGTATAGTTAGGGTTGTTAAAACATATCTGTCAACGTAATTTACATGTAAGTTACACTGTAACTTATGTAACTTACTTGGCCTATATGTAAGTTATAAAATAGCTTTGAAGCTAGCCAGATTTTTATAGATCGAAATTTAAATAATAAACTTCATGAGGTAATTTGATATATGACGCAAACATATGTTAATTAACTTACATAACTTACAAGTAATTTACGTAAGTTACGAAAACTTACATTGTTAAAATACATGGAAGTTAACAACCCTAAGTATAGTGAATAAGAGTTAAGAAAGCACAATATAGCATGATACACGGAAAATTTCAACATAGTACAGTGCAGAATACATAATGAAGAGCAACAAAAAGCATGTTACAGCTATTTTCATAATTTCAGCTGATTCGATTATGTTTGAAATTTCGGTATAACTCATAATAAAAACTATTTTTTTGAATCATAATGACTGTTTATGCTTATCCAACATGTTTAGTGTGAATAAGTCTTAACAAGAAATATAAAAAGGCACTAAATATTAATTAAACTTTTATAATTGACATATGGCATGAATTGGAGTACATGTTAAAAGAAGATCCTGCATATTGATATATACATACAAGTCCTGTAGTAATTCCATCTCGGATTGTAATTCATACGAATACCAAGGTTTAAAATATTTTGTATCAATCATGTTTAGTGAACATGGCTCTCCTGAAAGTGACGGTGGCTTTTCAATACATCCATATCTTTGAAAGTGCTACATATACTAACATATAACTGTTCTAAATTAAGGTCTTCTAAAATTTTTTTTCAACGAAGATGCTATGAAAGTCAACCAGAGATACAATATCAGTAATATTTGTATTAATTACTTAATCTTAAATTAAATCTATTAGGGGGTTTCAGAGTTAACTTATTTTGAAAATAAATGGGAGTTTGAAAAGTCCTATTTTTGTTTTGAAATCTCGAGATCAGAAAATAATAAAGGAATTGTCCGAAGATAAAATAAACAAACTTTTTTAATGATGTATATTATATCTATTATATAAATAAATAGGCTTGCAAATAAAAATAAATAGGATTTATAATCTCTGATTTCAAAATAAATACGTCACTAATTTAATTCGAAATCAGAAACCTGAACCTTAACTTAATCGAATATTCGATCAGGTGTACCAGGAATTATGAGATTGTTATAATAATTTTATACTGTTAAACCGAAACTTCTAAAACTGATCCGGCAAATGCAAATTTGGCAAATTAACGTTTCACGATTTTATGAACATTATATTGTGCTAAATGAATTACACTCTACCCTCGTTATAACGGACCCCGATATAACGGATACCTTATTATAACGGAGTAATTTTCTAAAACAATTTAAAAATATTATTATTATATTATATAACATTATAACGGATATTCATTAATTGCGGTAGCGTGTATACGGAATATTTATGTTACATTATTTATATTAATTACGGAACAAACAATAGGAATTAATTAGTTTCTTTATAGGTTCTATATCATTTCCCAAGGCATATTTCCGTATGCAAAATACGGAATTCCATCTGTAATACGAAATTATACTACAGTATTTCGACAATTCATTTAAAATCGATAAAACTTTTTTCAGAAGACAAATTAACGAATAGTCAAAAAATCTATTTCATAGTCTTAATTATTGTTTATTCCTTTTTTTACAAACTGTCAAGTCTTCTACAGAAGATCAAATTTGACGTTTCAGAATTTCATGAGCGTTGTTATATTGTGTTAAAGTTTTAAGGAATTTTATATGAATTATACGGAATATTTATGTTACATTATTTTATTTTACATACGGAATATAAATAAGGAATTAATCCATTTCTTTGTATATAAAATATGGAATTTGCGGAATTATATGAAATATTTCGATAATTCATTAAACTTTTTTCAGGTGATAAATTAGTAAATAGTCAAAAAAACTATTCACAGTCGTTTTTGCTCTTGATTTTTATTTATTCCTTTTTATACAAATGATCATGTCTTCTACAGAAGATCATATCTTAGTCATCGAAAGTTCTACACAAGAGCATCTTGTATATATGTTAAATCAATTTCTTCATAAAATTATTATTTTTTCTTACTTTTTCTTTTTTTTTTAATATAGGTTGACTCAAATGCTATGCCAACTAGCATACCTTCATCTCCTGACACTACGAATAATAATAACTTAAAGAGATCAAAATATTCATCCTTCTTGCCAATCAGTGAAGATATCGAAACGCAACTATTTTATGAGCTTTATGGCAATATGGATCGGAATAGTAATCCTTCACACTTGCTTAAAAGAAAATGGTTTGTTCTCTCCCATCAATATCGTGGACCCAAACCAAAAGAGAATACTTATGACCGTTATGTTATGCATTTGATTATTATGATAAGGTTTGCTTCTAATAATTAAATAAAGTTAAACCAATATCTTTTGCCACTTTCTAACTTGCGACTGTACATTTGGTATTATAGTAAGATTTGCTCTTAATAATTAAATTAGAGCTAGAACATCATCTTTTGCCGCTTTCTACAGTTCTCAACAAGAATCAGAAGTCTATCCACTATATGAAAAGATAAGGCTTATTATATTAATTATCTTTTTTGTTGTCTGCTCGATATTAGTGCTGTAAAAGATGACATTTTCTTTGAAGATCTTGTTTACTCTGCATTTCCACGTGGACGAGACATGTTATTGTATAGAAAAAAAAAATAACTCCCTCTTCAATTAACCGAAAAATAGATTTGTCCATGGAAAAAATGCAAAATTTTTTATTAGATTTTGAAATGGCAGTTTATTTCAATGAACACCTAGATCTTAAAGGAAATAAAGTCTATATCTGCAATTATAATTATGAAAATCATGCAATTATGTATAGCTATAAAAATAATCGACTTGCTCAGAAGTATGGAATAGAGATTGTTGACCCGAAATACTAAAAACATATACATTCCTCATGGGTAGCAAAAAATCAAAAGATCTTATGCTTGAATATAACATTTGGAGAGGTTTTAATGGTTATGAAGATGCACTTATGATGATTAATAAAGAACGTACAGCTGATATTAGATATACTGTACTAGCTGATAAATTCTTTAGACTGGAAAAAACAATCAACTCGTTTTGGTTTCGGTTTCAAAGAGAAGCAAGTCATAGACGACTTTACCAACCAGTAGATTATTATTTTATTATTTTTTCGGTTTTTTTAGGATTTCTCACAGTAGTGCAAACAGTGACAGGATTAGTATCTTTAATTTTCCAAATAAATTCAAGTTAATATAGTTTTATATTATACAAGTGAAAATGTGGGCGCAACCAACACCCCTGCCCTGTTATACTACTTGAGTCAATCCCCGTCAATCTTTTTTCAATAATCCATCAAATTGTATTCATTAAATCGTATGTTCATTCTTTTCATATATTATAATTATCAATCATTCTATCTCCACTTATCCATCCTTGTATTGTTGTACAGTATTTGGAATACACGCCTGGCACCAGTGTTAGAAATCTGTTTTAAGATTTATGTTCACATGAAAACAGATTTATTTGATTTAATACTTTCGGAAATTTTTTTATGTTCTCAACAGTAAAATTTTATTTATATCTAGGATCGGGTCCAAATTTTAGACCCTGTTCATTGATCCATCAAAGCCCGATTCTACGCTTTTCAATTATATTTCTTTTTCTATTCGCCAATTTAATTCAGATTTTACAACTTTTTTCATAAATTTTTGGGACAAGGAGCCCAGTGATCACATCTAGAGTTGTAAATTTACAAGAATTTTTAATTTTTTAATGTAAGGTAAGTTATAAATATGTAACTTACATGTAAGTATGTAAGTTACTATTAATTAATATAAATAGATTAATTACTATTAGTTTATAAAATAATATATTTAGAGAGTTGTTGTTTTCACTCCCCATTTTTGCTAATGCCACCCCCAGATATCTAAAAGTGCTCCGTAAGAAGTATTTTTATTAAGTAAACACTTCCTTTGATCTTAATAAAAGTTGTTCATCAGGCCTTTCTGGTTAGAATGGTAGTAAATTCATTAATGTCAGATCAGTAGTTACTAAGGTATATGTATCCGAAGTTAATTTACTTTTTTTTAAAAAAAAACTATCAGTCCGATTTTAATGATTTTACAACTATTAGAACCGGAAAGGCCTGATGAACAACTTTTATTAAGATCAAAAGAAGGGTTTCTTAATAACAATACCTCTTCCGGAGCACTTTTTTAAATTTTGTGGGTGGCATTAACCAAAGTGGAAATAGCAACTCTCCATATTTAAATATATACATATTAAAATAACTTACCATACATTATAAATTTTAAATGTAATTTACATGTAACTTACATGTAAGGTAAGGTATGTAAGTTACAATTTACAACTCTAATCACATCAAATGAAATAATGCAATGATGTAATTTGTTTACTAGCACTAACGAATCGGCCTAAACTATACAATCAACTAGCCTTAACACTAACATTAACCCTAACTTAGGCCGAGTGTTTGTTTTGTGACGACCACGAAGATAACGCTGAATTCCTTGTTCTTCAAACTACCCTTCAGATATTTAATTGAATATAACGGCTCAACACAATTTGATTTTTCATTTCGTTAATAATAGCATAATAATTGCAAAGTTATGAAGTTACAGTATTTTATCTTTTAGTGAATAAAGTTGATTGCGCAACCTTCGTCTATTAATTAAATTATAAGACCCGATTTAACATAAAGATTATAAAAAATATCCAAGGTGAAAAATCGCCAGTAACAAGATTTTTTTATAAAGTCGGCTTTTGTATCTCAATTAAAAAAATCCTTGAAAAGTTTTTAATACTATCAGAGCCTAATTTAACCTTAGTACTGTCACGAAAAATATGTATTAATTTAATTTTTTTTTTTTTACGTCTTTGTCATGAGTCAAAACTTAGTAAACTCCAAAATTCATATATTATTATTAAATCTCCTAAAACCGATATGCATGGTGGACAGACTTTGTATCAGTGTTAAGAGGCTATCAGATTTGAACCATTATAAATTTATTAGATTTATATAGTGAAAACGGGTTTATAAACTAATTTTTTACGTATCAGATTTGAATGTGATAGATTTGACAAGATTGGTTTTTGGTAATTATTAAACCGAACAGAGGAGCTACTAATATATGCAATTTTTAGCCTTCTTATTTGCAAATCGATTTAGTGTTAATTATAATATATATTAATTATTTTTTTAATACACCTATAATGAAGGTTTTTGAAAATGAACTCAAGTGTTAGCATAATATCTTAATAAAAATTACTTGAAAATAATTCAGTTGATTTAAAATAGCATACACAACATAATACATATTCATGCTAACACTCATATTACATAATTTAAAATCGGTAACATTATAAAAGTATGAAATATTTAATGAAGCATATTTGATGATGTCTTCGTATATTATTCTTCAAAAAAATTTAGATCTAAATTTACTTGTTAAAGATTCTGACAAAACAAAAATTTTCTAAAAATTAATATGAAAAATAATCACTTAATTTTCAGATTACGAGAATAACTTTGGTTAAAGATTTTATTGTTATTTCGCTAATCAGAAATTGAAAAAGTAGGATAGAGGATGCTGTGCTTACTCTCCATATTTTACAGAATTAAAGAGTTCTTCAATCATATTCGTAATACATTACAGCCTAGATTCAATTTAATTAATTTTAAACCTTTTCAATTATAATCTTTCTGTTTAGCAATAAGGAAATGCGTCTTCTAATGCTTTTCTTGTTTCTGGTTCAAGATTGTTATTACTAATATACAAAGTAGTTAACGTAGTGTTTTTAGCGTTCTTAGTGTTCTTAAGAAGCACATCTGCTAATGCCATTCCTCCTTCTGGTCCGAGATTGTTCTTATTAAGATCCAGAGATATCAATGTGATGTTCTTGCAAAGCGCATTTGCTAATGCCTTTCCACCTTCTGATCCGAGGTTATTCCAACCAAGATTCAAAGAAGTCAGCGTGGTATTTTTGCAAAGTGCTTCTGCTAATACTTTTCCTTCTTCTGATCCAAGTCCATTCCAACGAAGATTCAAAGAAGTCAGAGTAGTGTTCTTGCAAAGTGCTTCGGCTAAAGCTTTCACCACTTCAAATCCAAGATTATTCCAAGCAAGATTCAATGAAGTCAACGATGTGTTCTCACAAAGTGCAGCCGCTAATGCTTTTCCTTCATCTGGACCAAGATAATTACTATGGAGATCCAAATTTTTTAATGAGTCGTTCTTGCAGAGTGCATTCCCTATTGCTATTCCTCCTGATCCAAGATTGGTTCAAAGAAGTCAGTGTGGTGTTTTTACAAAGTGCGTCTGCTAATGCTTTTCCTCCTGATCCAAGATTATTCCCACAAAGATTCAAAGAAGTCAGCGTGACGTTCTTGCAAAGTGCATCAGCTAATGCTTTCACTTCTTCTGATCCAAGTTTATTAAAATTAATATTCAAAAAAGTCAGTGTAGTGTTTTTACAAAGTGCTTTCACAAGTGCTTTTCCTCCTTCTAATCTAATATCATTACCAGCAATACTTAAAGAAGTTAAGGTAGTATTATCGCAAAGAAACTTTGCTAACATCTTTACCTCTTCAGTGCCAATTTGATTATTATAAAGACCTAAAGAATTTATGACATCGTTTTTATAAAGAGCTTCTAATAGTATTTTTACTCATTCATATCTCAGTTGAATTGATCTAAGATTCAGAGAAGTCAAGGTAGAATTCTTATTAAGGAAATTTACTAATCCATCTATTGCTTCAAATTTTAAACTACTATTATCATTATATAAATCAAAAGAAGTAATAGAAGTATTCTTATAAAGATTTTTAAATATCATTTGATTGCAAATAATTCCCTTAAGACATAAATATTTAAGTTTCTTGCTAGTTCGTAGAAACATTGCAATTAAAGAACGTTCAACAGCATATTCAAGTTCAGATTTTATATTATATACTTCGAATCTCTTATAATAAATCCAATTTTGAACTCCATCATAAAAATCATTGGTAACAGATGTGATATAACTTGTATATTCAAATAGAAATTCGGAATGTCTTGGAAGAGCAACTTCATAAGGAATTAATAGAGTTTGCTCTTCAACATTTAACGTTAAAAGTAATATTCTTAGAAGTCTTACATCTTTAAAATAGTATCCTGGTTCGCTCCACAATATTGGTATAATAATTCTACACCATTGACGATTTACAAGCGCACATGAAAGTAAGTCTTTATAATTACGATGGAGATGGTTAAATATTATATAGTAGCATTCGTTCGGTAATGTTATCATATTGGCAAATTACTGAATTTTGTACATAAAAGTAAGACGTATTTATATGTTTCAGGAAAAGTTGTGAGATGCCAAAAAAATCCAAATTTGGAAAAGATTGATGCATGTTACGTAACGGTTGATTTTGACCTTCCTTCCTATGGAAAAAGTTAATAATTTTCCTCACAACTTCTGATTGGTTCTACTTTTTATCCACATATAGGAGTATTTGTATTTTATAGTACGTACTCTGATAATGAATTGAGTGGTGGATAAAATTAGTAAACCCTCTATGAAAATTGCGTCCTGAAAGTAATCGACAAGAATTTATAAAACTTTGTAAATTTTGTAAATTTATTAGAGAATTTCCAAATTTCTTAAATAATTAAAAATTAGATAAATTTGTTCTACGTATATGTAATAATTTGTATAGCAAGAAATACTATTTATTTCAATAAAGAAACCGATTCGATTGAGTATCAGGGACAACGCCTTGGGTTGCGGCTCTACTTAGGCCACACAAAGTTAATTTTTAGTTTTACATTATATGGAATCTGAAAATTGGGTCGGTCGGTCGGGAGTTTGTTTTTTTTTTTTTAAAAAATCTACTTTAAATTAATAGAATTATGTTCATAATTTAAGGCTACGCAAAGTTAATCATTTTTTTTTGCATGACAAGGAATTAGAAAATTGGGCTAGCAGTCGTTTTATTCTGTTGGTCCTGTCGGATAATTCCGGGATGCCAAGGTCTCCACTGGGTGATACCGGATGAAAGGCAGAAAAAAATTAATAAAACGAAAAATTAACTTTGCATGGCCTTAGTAAAAAGCCTAAAACTAACTGCATAAAAGAAATTTAAGTTAAGGTATGATCTCGAATCCAACACCAATATGTTCGAGATGCTGCAACTCTATCATTTTATCATATCTTAATAAATAAGCCATTTTTTTGGGTAAAATTTTTTTACTTTGTAGACAGCTGAACTAATTATCAGTTATCAGTCGATCGAGATGTCACGCAGATCACGGGGTAAATTTTTTACTATGAAATTTGAGTGATCGACATCTATATGTGAAAATCCCCTTTCATAGTAAATTGCAACGGTGTCCTACTTTTGATCATCGGTTTCAAGGGTTTCATAAAAGGAAATTACACTTACAAGGTATAGTGCGACAGCTTAGAAAGTTAAAAACTATATCATGAATAAGTTTAAAGCGAGATAGAAAATAAAACTGAAAAGAATCTTGCTACTAAAAATAGCCTTTCATTACATATTTTATAGTACTAGCAATGTAATAAAGCTTGCGATTTACAGAAGTTGTTGCACGTAGTATAAGTATTTAATAACTTCACTTTGATTTTAAAGTTTTGCTTTGATTTTAAAGTTATTTTTTAACAAAAGAACAAAGTACTTAAAACCTCTGTAATTTTGTAGGATCTACTTTAAATAACAAACTGCTGTGTTTGGTAGAAAGATTTTAGAGCAAAATAAATTATTACTGTACAATTACGACCACTTGTATTATTTGAATTTATAGTTATAAATCATATATATATATTTATATATTTATTAATTGAATTAATACTATGTATAATAAAATTTATATATTAGATATTACAGTATTATATTACTATATACAATGTGTAAATTTTTTATTCCAATACAAATATACACTTTGATAACACCACGAATTGATTATAAAAATAAATTTATTAAAGAAAATAGTATTGTCACGATATATTATATAGTTCTTAAATTTTTCCTACTCTTAGCACGAAATAAACTAACATTTTTAATGAAATTTAGCAAATATGATGCATCTTACAATATCTTTATATTATAAATTATTTAACCTCTTTGTTTCACATAACGTTTACCATTGCAGCATTGTAATGATCAGAGAAACGTTTATCTAATATCTTCTTCATGCCTCTAAAATAAAAAAGCACAACAGTAAAAAAAGAAAAGTAAAACACTATAAACAGAAAGCTTATACTTAGCTAATCTACAAAGATTAAAGTATCATATAGATACTTAGCCAAGACCATATTCCTTTTATTATTCATATATAACCAAATAACTTAGCTTCTATATTTCGGTGCTAAAAAAAAAAAGAAAGAAAACCTAATTAGAAAATTGCAATCTCTATAGTATAAAATAGTTTTTCTTAATTTTCTCGCCATTTTTTATAAGATATCCTTCCTTTGAAGATGCATTTCATAGAAAGTTTTCGCTTGTATGCATCTAACAAGCTATTTTTCACGTCAAGATCTTGAAAACTCCAAAAGAATCTTGCAAAAGAAGGCAAAATAATTGCCCATATTTGAAGGGGCCACGCACTATCAGGTGACGTTAGTTTTTTATATTCTTTGTACTGCTTGATTCGTTGCAGCCCTGGCAATGTATTTGTTTTAAGAAGCATTGTGTGTTATAACTAAGACTTCGGGTGAAAATTTTAAAACCGTGATTTCGTTGATTTGTGTAATTTATGAAATCATATGATAAAAAATTAGGTGTGACATCTCAATAGACTGTTATTATCTCACAATTACGTAGAATTATATAGGATAACATAATTACAAAGAATTTTAGATATGCTAATTATTTTCAATAAGGAATCACTCATCTTGAAATAATTGCCTAATATGATATTTTGCAAATTACTAGAGATAAACAAATAATAAGACCATTTTTTGTAATATTCAATAATACTGATTGAACTTTTTGATTTGTTCATTTTTGCTAACAACCAAACTAAAGAGTCAAGTACAAAACAAAGTTATAAAATTTCCGACAAATTGTCTAACCAGCTGATAAGCAGATTTTTTGTAGAAGTAGTAAACACAAAAGAACTTGAAGAGTTAATATCATTTGTTTATGAATTATCTTTTGCAATTTCAAGACCTAGCAAATGATAAAATTTCTTTAATATTCCCAAAATCAATAATTAAACACATGAATATCATGGCTTTTTAATCTATCTATCTATCTATCTATACCATTTAATTCAGGGTTTGTACATTTTAACAATTTTGATTGGTTGTTTGTAAAATTATTAAAAAGCTTGCGTTTCTGCTATCGTAAAACTATGTCAATTTCAGATGCATTATATTAATATTATCATATGTTCAAATTATTATGACATATTTTATCTTCTATATAATCTAAAGTTATATTGCTGATATAACATCCATTATCTGTATGAAAAATGTCATCATATTGTGATATTATGACATCTTTATATAGATTATTGAATGTTTGCATTTCTATTACAATATTATCATATAATAAATATTACTAAATATTATAGTTTCTATTGGCATATTAATAGTATAATAACATTGATTAATCATAAAACAATGTATATTGCAGGATTGGCTATAGCAAAAATTATAATATGAGAATACTTGCTTTATATATAAATCTATATAATAAATCTATAGTTTGTCTATCTAATTCAGATTTTGTACAGTTTTAAAATTTTTATTTTATTGCCAGTAAATATAATTCTGCCATTTTTTTTTGAGATTATTATACAACAGAGTGTATTATTTAATTCCTAACGTTAATTTTGGGGTTGTGTTTTTGCATTTTTTGATTGGTCATATTCAAAAAACATGATCTAAACATGTGAAAAATCAAATATTATATTTAGAGAATGCCTATTTCCACCAATGACCATAGTTTATCGTAACAATGTTCGTCATGTATATATGGCTAAAGACATGTGAAAAACATGGTAGAAATAGTAAATTTCTATAGTAGAAATAGGCACTCCCTATATTTATAATAAAGTTTGATATTGATCGAAAATGTCGTAATTTTTGTGATTCTATTCTGGGTTTAAAATGCAACTAAAAAATTTTGTAATGATCATATCTGAATTTCCAAAACTGGAGGTCTAAAGCCAGTAGGGTTCTGCAAATGCTCATGCCAGGCATATTGGCACCATTCCAGGCACTAGTGCCTTATGCCATGTCTGTATCTATAGGCATAAAAATGCAAGACATTATTATAAAATACAAAAATGCCCCTGTTTGTGTCTATATTCATAGGCACATAAGTGCTAGACACTATTAAAAGCATGGCATAAAAATGCCAGGCACTATTAAAGCATAAGCACAAGATGCTGGGCACAGTGCCATATATAATCTAGTGATCAGATTTTGATAAAACAAGTTTTGCTAAAATCCTCTAGCTAAGAGGAGTATTTTGGTAATATATTTGTTTAAAATAAATCAATAGTTCAAAAATTATTTATGTTTAAAAATAAACATCTAATTAATAATAATTTTAAAAAATTTACTTATATAATCTAATTAAATTTTTTTTATTTTAAAGATATAGCTTTTACCAATTTTGTAAAAAAAAATTATAAAGAATCCATAAATATTTAATAAAAAAATCAATTTAAAAAATAACTACTTGCTTTTTTTAGCATTTCAGTTTTCTGTGCCAGGTTATGTCGATTATGCAGTGTAATATTGGATCTTCATACATGTGTTATATTAGATCTTCATACATATTATATAATAAGTTTAGGTACGTACAATCAATCAATTATGTAGGTAACTGATTCTGTATCAGATCACGATTAATTATGCGGGTAACTGATTCTGTGTCGGATCATAATTTAATAACAATAACAGAAGACAATAGATTATACGTAACAATATTATGACAGATTATAATGTAATATTACATATTTTTAAAACCAAATAAATAGGATTTTTGACCAGTTAACTATTGAACTTTACTTCGATTTATTGAACAAGTCTTGAACGTTATAGTTTCGTGTGTGGGTAGGGAAAGTAGAAGTCGATGATAAAGGAGTAGTTGAGTGTAAGAAGAAAAGGCGTAGTGAAAAAGCAGACACCAAAAAAAAAGAAATAACTCAAAAAAAAACAATAAAATAAAAATAAAACCTTCCAAAAAAATAACCAAATCCAAAAAACTTTTTAAAGCCAATATAATTAATTGCGCATTAATAAGTTTGTGGATACTTGTGACATATTGTATGTTGAAAACTTAATTTTGAAATTTATGAATAAAACAATCGAATAACATATGTATTATTTGATAATAAAGCTGTATAGTGAAATTATCGACGAAACAGTCTTGAATGTAAAGAAATATAGAACACATGGAAACCTATATGGAAAATGCGAAGGTATTAAAAAATTGCATATTATATATGTATTTTTTATTTTTTTTTATAGAAAATTAAAATTTTTTTTTTCTCTTAGAAATATTTGTGGAATTTATTACCAGATCTCCTTCAAATCGTTTTACCTTCAAGTTATAACTACCTTATTCAACAATTTACTGAATTGTCTCCATACCAGACTGAAGAAGGTTTTGAGGTACTTCAGTTTGAAGTTAAGACATTCGTTAATGTCGTTATGATAAAAGATATTAAAGTGTGGATTGCTGCTTTTGAAGGACATTCAAAAACAACAATGCCACAAACAAAAGGATATGGAGTTAAAGGAAAGAGAGTAATTTTCTGTGAGTCAAGGCATTGTATTTACAGTAAAAAGGTTAAAAATAAACAGGGAAATCCAGAAGTCAAATGAGTGTACACAATGCGCAATAGAAATACGAATTGTTCAGCGATTCTGAATCTTAAATTAGAACGTTGTAATCTGTCAAATAATTATCCTTTAGAAGTAAACATTATGTTTAAGCATAACCATGTAATCGATTCAGCTGAAGCACTTAGCTTCCGTTGTGTTTAAGAAAAAACAGTTGCAAAATACATGCAATTATATTATGATGGCTATTCTTTAGCAACCACCCTGCATACTTACGAAGATGAACTTCATATTTCTATTTTGTCAAGTGAAAAACTTATTAAAGTTCTTGCTGATCGTTCTATAAACCCTAATTACAATTATGTTAAGAACCTTTTTACTCGTCCTTGTTACTCTCAACTTGGTCAAAGAAATGTAATATTAATATTTCAACGTCTAAATGAAGAAGTTGAAAATTATAATGTGTCTGGTCGCGGTCGGGCAGTTTTTCAGGAATTTGACTTACAAAGTGGTAAATCATTCATTCTTTGTATTGTCACAGGGTTAATGAGCCGAATACATGAAAAAATTAGGCAAGCAGGTGAAATTTGTTACATTGATGCTTCTGTATCGTTTGAGCAATTAAATACTTCTATCACGCTTCTTTATACAAGTTCTATTGCAAGTGCCTTACCATTAGGTTTATTTATAACATCTAATAAATCTTTTAAAACCTATTTTACCAGAACACGCATTTTTTGGTTGTGGTTGCAATGTTGGGTCACAAAATTTTATGACAGATGATTTAGCAGTGGAACGAAACGCATTAGCACGCTGTTGGCCCAGATCAAATCATCTTTTATGCACATTTCACTTTCTTCAAGCATTTTGGCGATGGATCTATAATGCTAAACATAATATTAGCAAAGAACATCGCATACTAATTATGAATAAAATAAAAAAAGTTCTTTATGCGCAAATGATACCTGAAATGAGCATTTATTATGAAGAATTAAGAAGTAGTTTTCAACAATATCTACTACTCATAAGGCATCTTGAACTTCTTTGGAATCGTTGGCAGTATTGGGCATATTCATTTCGGTCTAATCTTTTATTGCGTGGCAACCATACTAACAATTACGTAGAACGTAGTTTTGGCCTACTTAAAGATATAATTTTTGAAAGAACTCAAGCATTCAATCCAGTTCAGATTTTTCGATTTATTATAGGAAACATGGATAGATTCTATGAACATCATTTGCTCGGGTTTGCACATAATCACCCAGGTCATATGAAAATTGCAAAAAGATTCTTTTGTCCAGGATGGGAAAACATTGATGCAGATTCAATTAAAAAATTGTCTAATGATAGTGAATATCAGGTTTCAAGTAAGAAAACAGACCTTACCTATATTGTAAATAGTACCATCGGAACTTGTAGTTGCCCCATTGGGCTAACGGGGCACCTTGTAAACATCAAGATGTAGTGGCAGCCAAATATCACATTGGAGCAATAAATTTCCTACCTTCAATAACTACTAGTGATCGTGAAACTTATTCTTACATTGCAACTAGTAAGTAATAATAATAATTTTATTATGAATCTTTTTTATAATGCTAATTTTTGATTTTTATTTAAAGGTCTTAATACGATCGATCATTCCTTTTATGCATCGCTGCACGCCAAGTCTGCTACAGCCAAAAATATATCACAAGACATAATGGCAAATGTTACTACTATGCTAAATAGGTATAGATTTACTTTAAATTTTTACTTATTTGATTTAATAGTTTATACGTACATATGTAATGATAATGTTAACAATAGAGAAAATGAGTCTTTGTTAATAAAATCCTTTAGTACTATAAATTTTGTGACCAAACTTTAATTTTATCCAAAAATAAGTTTGATTATAAATTATATAGTCTAAAGCGTTTTGTTAACAAAGACCCAAAATTATTTATATAGAGAATCAGAATATCAAACAAACGATTTATTGGAGACTGAAGAATCGAAGCATTAAGCTAGTAATTTCCCTGAAACTGAAGAATTGGAGTATCAAACTAATAACTCGCTTGAAGAATTAGAATGCCAGGTCAATAATTCATTTGAAACAGCAATTGAGGCATTAGAGCAGCAAATAAATAATTTGTCTAATAACTCACTTGAAAAATCAGAATGCCAGGTCAATGATTTATTTAAAACAGCAATTGAAGTATTAGAGCAGCAAACGGATAATTCATTTATTAATTTCTTGGAAGATATCAAGGAAGATTATGAAAAACAGGACCTTCAATTATGTGCGGCACTAGAAAAATTCTCAGCACAATATAAAGCTGCTAAATCGCAATCAATTCCTCGGTTAACTACTTTTTTTCATGATATCAATCGTAATTCAGACCCTCTGGCATGTGTTAAAGGTGGTAAAAAGATCCCTGTTCAGGTGGAATCTATAAAGCGAAGAAAAACTGGAGGAACAAGTATTAAACGAAAATATTCAAAACCTACAAAAATTACTAATAAAAATGATACATATAATATCTCTAAACGCAAAGTAAGAAAGACAGGTAAAAAGGAGCACAAATTAAGGAAAAATATTTTAAGTAATATATGTAAATTTTAGATTTTATAATTAGTTCAATAAATCGGTTGGATCTAGAAATCTGTAATCTCGGTCATACCATCTAGTTATGGGAGCTTTGGCGCAATAAATCCGAGAAA